CCCAGTTATTTTGGGGGGAAGGGCAGTTATTTGGGGGGGGGGGAATGGCCGGTCATTTTTCTGGCAAAATATTTCTGGTTTTTGGGCAAAATACCATAGCAAAATACCATGTAATAAGGAAAGAAATGAAAAAGTTGTCGACGGGGATGTCGGTGGGGGAGGTGATGAAGGGTCCCCCAAAAAAATCTGCCTTGGGCCCCTGGAAAGCTCTGGGCAGCCCTGTTTTCTAGTTGCCGTAACTGTTCAGTACAGTGTACATTTCTGACAAAATAATATCTGCAAATAAAGCAGTGCATAACTTTATATTCTGTTTGGCATCTTACAATGCCTTTACTTTAGTTTCACTATAGTTATAGCATTAAAAGTTTAAAACATTAAAATGAAATAGACTTTTTACGTAAATGCATTGTTGAATTAGCAATTAGAATAAAACACAAGTACACATTGATCCATGTATTAATTTCCTTCTTCCGAAAGCTTTAACTTTTTCCTTAGTGCTTTTTTCTTACGTTCGGTTTTGGTGTCTACTCTATAGTTTTCAATAACATACTTTGCATGGGCATAACATCTAACTTTGAGGTAAAAATTTACAAACTTTTCAAGCATTTTAAATTTTTGTTCATGTTCAACAATTTCATGTGCAGTTGCATCAAGAAAATTATTTTGAACTGATACATTCCCCAGTGACTCAGATAGTAAAGAATCTGTACAAATTTGTTTCGAACTAGAATTAATTTTTGCCTAAAAATACCCTCAATAACTAAGAACATATTAATAATTGATGCCTTAGGGTAAATAAGACCTCCTCGACTTAAAGCTTCAATCAGTTTGGTGGAGGTACTGGTGCTACCCAACCCATCTGACCTTGTTTCCTTGCAGGCATTAAGTATTGTAATGTCTTTATCCACTGTAGCAACATCTTGACCATTACTTGCAATTTTCCTCTTTAACTCGCACAGTTTGGAACCTACATTTTTTAATACCGCACCAGCAATGTATGCAACAGATTCCTGTTCAGCATCTGACAAATCCAAATCATTTACCACAGCAGTAGAATCACATTGTAGATACGTTTTTGCTACAGCCTGTTGTAGATAAAACAGAAACCATGAACAGAAGTCAGATGTAATACCAAGAGCATCAATTATTGACTTCGTAATATTCTCATCGGTCCATATCTTGTTGAATTCCTCCCACATTGCTTCTCTTGCAGTAGTTATAAAACGTGAAGAAAACTTCGTACATGTTTTTTCGAGTCTTTCCTTCAAATCATCTGACGGAAAAGCAGGTAAAGGTTTTCCAACAAACGACTTATATGATGCCTGTAGAGAGCATTCAACATTTCATTTTTCTTCATCTGAAGCATGGATAATAAAATAAATGGATATGAAACTTCTGACGTCATTGACTGCATCCTTGTTGAAAAACGTGACGTCACGCGTATTGCGAATGTTACCAAAGTTCTCGGCATTTTTGTTGTTTTGCTATATTTTCCACTTTAAAAGGGTGATCTTGAAGCGTAAACTGGTCTAATTGTTTTAAAAACATGCCTAAGCCACGACAAAGTATCCAAGGTAAATGTTTTTCGTCTTTGTTTTGTATTTTTTTACATTTGTAGCTACGAAATTGGCGTCACAAATTTTTGCGAAATTTGCGATGTATTTTTCACTGTTTAGTGCTTGAAATATTTGCTAAAATTGACTGGGAATACTTAGAGTTTTCATCGTAGAATGGCGTGGTTACATTTATTTGCTCTTTGACTAAAATGTTTAGCTGTATTATTGCTAAACATGCCGTTTTTGAGAATTTGGTTTTCAACTAGGTTGAGGCACCCAGCCACGCCATCAATCCCAGTAAAAACATTAGGTCACGTCAGCTAGTTTCATATCCATTTATTTTATTATCCATGTCTGAAGTAAAGCATCCTTCGCCAAATCACATATATCTGCCAGGATGACCTTTTTTTTTCTCGATTTTCTAGCTTTCTTTGGTTTACCCTTCGGCTTTTTGGCTCTTTGTTTTTTCTTAGAATTTGTTTTAGCATCTGTGGTGGCAATTTTCTGGTCGGCAGTTAAAGTTTCGAGACTACATTCAGTGGTTTCACTTGAAGATTTTCCAGTTCGAACTTCGACGTTTTTTTCGTCACAAAATGCGATGGGAAAAGCCTAAATTCATATGTGGTAAAAATAATATGGTAAACAAAAACTGTGAAGTGTAAATTGTGCTAACTTTTACATATTTCCCTCCAACAACAACATGAAATATAAATAATTTTATACATAAAATCACACTGATGCCTCAGACTTCGCATGCCAGTGTCAGTGAAAAAATAAATCGCTACACTGACACTGTATTTATTACATCTGAAATGATAAAAGATGTGTAAATTTAGCAGCAAACCTTACCTTCTCAATTTCAGCTTCATCACTTGATAATACATCAATAGTAAAATAACTGAAGTCCATTCTGTTTCTATTTTCTGAGAATTGCCAATATATTTCTTATAAACCGGAAATGTTGCTTGCACAACTTGCATTGTTTGTGGGAAGGCACAAGATATAACCGGAAATGGCTTTGATGTATGCCGGCATTCCAATCCATCCTACTTCCATTATCTATGGTCTCGCCAACATTTCAGTCCCTTCAAAATTATCCCGCCTTCCAGTTCCATCCTGTCGCGGCAAACCAGGATAAAGTAAACAGCCCCGAAATGATAATAACTTATTTGACAATACAGCAGAACGTGACGTCAGCCGGCAGTTTTCTACCGGTTGTACAACAATCAAACTCAGCCTATTTTAAGAACAATGCTGTAAAGAGACATATTAGCAGAGGAGTGGAAAAAATAGGCGAGCACGCGAGCAGGAAATGTTAAACAGCTGCAGGAAATTCGTTTGAATGAAGATTTGCTATTGAAAATTTGAAAGAAACCTTGTCTCACTATGGGCGCAACAACATACGGTTGACAGACATTATTCCTTGAATTTAAAACCATGTAAAACTATGTTTATGCACATGCAGATTTAGCACAAAAATACTCCGTTGGTCTGCAGGAAATTTTGTCTCCAGGTTGTGCTCCCAGGAAGAAAATTCTTTTTTCCTGCCCTGCATATTAGACAGTTTTAGAAAAGTTTAAATCTTTCTAAAGTTTATACAAGCACTAATGGACCATTTGCATTATAGACTAAATTTTGATCTAGAAAACAATTTCATCACAGCTTGAAAGAGCATCACAAAATCAGTAATATTCCAAAGTTTCGTTGCGAAATGTTGTAAAATGCGGATAATATAGCCTTGCGAAATTTGCAATTTTCAGTCATTTTGTATTACAAACGGGAAATGATGCCCCAACACCCGATTGGGCTGTCAGTTTCCCGTGCGTAATACAAAATGACTGAAAATTGCAAATTTCGCAAGGCTATATTATCCGCATTTTACAAAATTTCGCAACGAAACTTTGGAATATTACTAATTGATAAATGGTCCATTAATTACAAATAGATTTTAAATCACACAAAAAACTAAATGCTGTGCTTTTATCACGATTACGATTAGCATTTCTATAGCGCAAATTTACATGTGGATATACCTGTAGGATCAAATGCACTTTACATCAAGTATTACGCTTACCTTGTGATATTACTTTCTTAACTGTGTTTTCCCAACCCACTCTGTCAACTTTCCCTGTGGGTGGAAACCGGAGCACCCGGAGAAAGCCCACGACTTTCGGCAGAGGCGTTCACTGATTCTTTTCACATGAGTCCATGGCAGATGGTGACTCAATCAATATTTTTTTAACGGTAAGCCACCGTTAGGTGTGCTACTTTCTCACGTTCTTAACGTTTGAAAGTTGGAAGTTTCGTCAGAAAACGTTGAACTCGCGTCATGAATTTATGAAGGCATCATTTTGTTTCAATATTACTGAATTTCATTAACAAACAGTTTTTTTCCAATTTTTTCCGGTTTTTTTTTGCCTAGAACAACATTGGTTGAATCCGTTTTTCAAAAACATCGTTTTTTTTTCCAGTTTATCGATTAACCGCCTAGCTCACCCTACTTCGTACAAAATGCAAGGTTTGAGGAAATTTACAATAACTAACTTTCCTGACGAAAGACACTCCAACAACATAGAAAAATCTTTATAATTATCTTAAATCTGACTGATCGAAGTTTATTATATATGGCAAGGTGGTCCATCAGCAAAATGCAGCATTTTGATTGGAGTATGGACGCTCACTGATCTCATAATATGGCCACTAAGGTGGACCGCTTTCGAAGAAAAACTTAAATCAATCTTTTCCGTGGGAGAAAACTAATGACATACAGCTGAACCCAATAAATTATTCATGTTTCAAGATGCTGCCAATGATTAGAGGAATAATTTCTTAGTTGCTAAGAAATTATTGTTTTAGGCAAAATTGTTGTTGCCAGTTGGAGGGTTTTGTAGACGGAAATTATCGAGTGGAAACTTATATTACATTTATTAGACCTAACCAGGAACAGCTACGAAAAATGCAACTACAGGTCCCTGGCAGGAATCAAACCCACAAACCTGTGATTCCGGTGCAGCGCTCTAACCAACTGAGCTACAGAGGGCCAGTTGTCGAGCTCTAACTACAAGTTCATGTATACAGTACATATATAATTATATTCTGTTATTCCACACTCACAGTTCCGGCTTTTGTGCGTTGTTTTGTGTGGAAAAACAATAAGGCGACTGTATACTGTGTTTTCTATCAACATGTATGATTGTCATAAAACAAGGCTGTTTAATATTTAAACTATCACACAAGACAAACAACGCCGAAATCATTGACTGCTTGATAATAAACTGTGTGTGCATTTCTCACTGTATGCTTGTCAGATTATCTAGTGAATTATTATGCAGTTAATTATATTATTAACTTAGTTCTTGCACTTCACTTGGTGGAATTAATATTAGGATGTTAGGGTTTGTAATCCAAGTGAGAATATATACATTTTAAGACCTAACCAGGAACGACAGCGAAAAATGTAGCACAAGGTCCTCTGGTAGGAATTGAACCTACGGCCCTGCGATTCAGAAGCAGCGCTAAAACCTTCGATTCCTACCAGAGGACCTTGTGCTGCATTTTTCGCAGTCGTTCCTTATATTTTATGTCATTCATGTCAACTTTAAGAGGTTATGAATGCCCCCCCCCCCCAGTTTTGCTCCGGTTTTGAAAGAATTGCAAAATTCAACATAATCTATCAACTAAAACGCAATTATAAACATTTATAATTGCTTAAGTTAATTAAAACTATATTATAAACAAATATAGCTCAAATGTTTTCAAAAGTTGATTCACATGGGAACCAGGCCAGCCTTCCTCATGCATGTGAAACAAATAACAACTTAGCCCGGCAAAGCAAGCCAGCCCGGCTTACCAGGCCAGCCTGGGTCATACGAACATGCCCTTCATATGAACCAGCCCTTAGCTAAAAATTATTTCACACAAATTTAACAAACCTGGTGTTGATGGTGTGGATGGAGTATTGGCAAATTCATTTACATCATCTTCATATTCAGTTGCACCATTCACTACAAGCATGAAAAAAGTTTTAAGTTATGCACCCATAACTGATTAACCACTTTAAAGCTGCAGAACTTGCCCATTGACAAGTAAAATCGTCTGGCATTAGACAAATAAAGAAAATAAGTAAGGTGCACTGGGGCATATTGCGGCTCGATCAATGGATTAACTAGAGACATTTTCAGATTATTTGTTTAACCTACTAAGCTGCAAGCTTCTCCCATTGACGAGTAAAATTGTCTGGTGTTAGACAAGTAAAAAAATATAGTAGAGCGCACTGTATACACGGCTCAATAGGTTAATGGCTTGTTGATATGAGCCCAGTGCACAGGAAGCTCACCTCAGTCAAAGTGGGAATTTCTTTGTTCATATATACATGATGACTGTTTTTATCCCTGGCTATCTAATATCCCAAATATCTTTGTTGTGACTGAACAAACTGTATGTATATTGGGTCATTCAAGAAAAAGACCACACTCCACCTACAGAGGAAACTTATGCTGTCTAGAGGGGGAAAATTGACCTTTGGAAATAGTAAAACCTATAGTTAGGCTGAGGGAAATTAGGATGAAGTGACGATGTTTTCTGGAATGGTCCATTACAACTTTAACAGTGCCAGCAGGGCCATACAGAGCAATTTGAGGACCCATGCCAAATGTAACATTTGGGGCCCTAGTGATCTTCTATCTTGATTCAAGAATCAAGTTAAATGTGTTCTTTTAGAGATTAATTTCCATATTCTTGAACTTTTAGGACAATTAGCGCAAAATTATTTCCTTCGGTTTCGAATGTTTATATAATATTTTCAATGTGTATTCTATACTGAAATAGTCTAGGGGGATCTGGGGGCATTCTCCCGAGCCTTTTTTCAGTACCCTAGTCAGACTCATAGTATTCAAAGCTATTGGGAGACCACCGGAGACATATTTAGCATTATTCTAATATTTGAAATTTTGTAATATCCAGTCGGGATACAAGTCATTCACAGTTTGATATCCAAAACCAAATTTTAGTATCCTAGCTGTAGATATCAGGATATTGCAAATTTCAGACCCTGTTCAATATATCTAATTATATATATATAATTGACCTGTTTTATTTTGTGTTTTTCCATGCAGTTTTGGCTATGGTAACACATGAATATATGTGTTTATCTACATTTGTCTAATCACTTTGTATCATATAACTTATGATTATTTTATTATTAGGAAAACATTTTAAAATAAGATGTTTTTCTGGACTGCCCACTGAACCGTTCCAAACATTAGCAATGAACCCTTCCAAACTGTTTATCTTTTGACCTAAAATCTTTATGTCATGCAAACCTATACGAGACATGTAAAGATATATAATTTCTTCTGAGTATTATTAAATACACTAAGGTATCAGTTATCATTTCATACCAATATTTATACATACCGTTATCTGATAAACGTCTTTGTATATTATTCTTAAAAGATATTGGAAGGGATAAAGACCTCCGAGTTGTATGAGACATGCTTATATATTGTCTTATCCAACCATACTTAGTAGAAATACAAACTAATATGTCCTATCATAACTCAAAGCAGGTAATTAGGTATTAAATATTGTTTATAAGAAGCCTGTCTTAGTACCTGCAATTTGAAATGAAAACATGAATATTTTAAAATCAAAATTGAGGCATAATAACGATATTTCATAAACATGGGGACTTTAAAACATTCAACCATGAGAGGACACATCATCTTGACTTTACAATATAAGTAAACACATATACAGTACTTAGCGCACGAATTTGCGTGCAAAAATTTAAAATACGACAGCAATTTATTAAATTTTGTTGTAAGGAAATAAAAATATAGAAAATACTTCAGTATGTTTTCATTCTTTAGCATAAATTATAAGTATGATTTTGTTTGGAAGTTTAATAATACTAAATACTCAGAAAATACGGGATAGCACCTTAATTTCTATTATTCTATAATATAGTAAATATTTTAAACAATAAAAGATAAAGCTGTTCTAAGTTGCTAAAGCAAAATTTACAGTGTTGTGTTGTAAGTATGCTACAGTCGATCCTATTAACTGCTACTATAGCAAACCTTTCTCAAGATAAACAATATATATTGTAATGATTATTACCCAAATTTGCCATCTTGCTAATTTGAGGTCAATCAAACTTTACATTAAAATTATCGATGCTCCGATTCCGTGGTAGGATAAAAGATGTAAAATCACTTTAAAGGATTCACTGATCCATGAGACCACGACAACACACACACACTTCGTGACTTTAAAACAATACAATACCAATAAAGTTAAACAAAGAAGTCAAAATCACGATCAGGCGATATTCGGAAAATCAGCCATCTTTGTTTTCCGGGGGAGGGCAAGATCAAAGTCCAGCTAGCTCAGTGGCCCTATCAGTGGTCCGACCACATTGGCATTGAGATATTGCCAGTGATGAATGCAACCTCGTATGCCGATATAGGCAGCCCAGCAAATTAATATACTAAGATATATTCAACAACTAAAACGTTTACTGTAAAGCTGACATATAAAGGTCTTTGCCAGGTTTTGCTTCTATTGTGTAGCTCATCAGTTATGTATGCAGATTCACATGGACCTGATGAACGTAACCATGCGAATCTGCATACAAATGAGATACCGGTTAGACAGGACAGAAGAACTTTTATTATTTATACACTTTTTAAGCGTCCAAGTGTTGAATATACATATTACCATGGTGATTTTTCAAATCCAATTTATTTTGTGGGTCACTGGTCACTAAGGATTTTAATGCAAAATTGACTTTCAGGTTAATAGGGGCGGGCAATGAAACCATGCATGCTTTTGGTAATTTTTTCTTCGTTTTGGAGTAAGGCCTGTTTTATACGTCGAATTTCGGTCGCGTCGAATGCAATTCAAACAATAGGTAATGAAACTTAATGAGATTTATCATCTCATTATCTATTAGGGACCGTTCATTATTTATACCTGGGGTTGGTACCGAAGAGAAGCGAAAAACACTGTAATTTTTTTATTTACCCAACCTCAACATTGGTCAAAATAATGTTTACCCAACCCATGTGTTACTGTACTTAATAATTAAACACACAAGATTATATGGTGACAGAAATCAAGTTGCCTAAATTTTAAAAGCTCACTCAGACTCAAACTCACTGAGTGTGCCAATGGAACCACGTTCCTGCTGATCAATAATAGAGTCCTTCCTCAATCACTGATAGTCTACTTTGGTACAGAATGTATTGTGCACATTTTTCTTCATATTTTCCAATGCATGGTAATTTCGGTTTTATTTTATAGCTGACAGACAGCCACAAATTTTTTTACCCAACCCATGAGCTAGTCAAAAACTTGATTACTCAACCCATATCTCTTCGGTACCAACCCCGGGTGTAAATAATGAACGGTCCCTTATCTTCACTGCATTCGACGCGACCAAAATTTGACGTATATAAAAACAGGCCTAAAGTTCAGTGTTATATAAACTGGGTCACGCTGTTGTAATCCTGTCTTTGCCATTTTTTACTGAAAAATTCGAGATTTTCTCGATAAGTTCAGCACACAATTACGATTACGATGTGATTTAGGGGCTTCGGTGGCCAAGTGGTTAGCGCACTTGCCTTTCACTTCTGAGGCTGCAGGTTCGAATCCATCCTCGTACCCAGGGTCTTAAAGTCCCTGCGACGGAGGTTGGTTCGAATCTCACTAAGTACCTTCTCAATGCGACTCGAACCCAGCCCTCACGCGAAAAGAGTAAAAGTCAACGCTCTGCCGAAAGCCGTGGGTTTTCCCCGGGTACTCCGGTTTCCTCCCACAGGGAAAGTTGACAGGGTGGGTTAGCTAAAAAGGGCCCACAGTAATTGGCATATGCTGTTGTGGTGACCCTGCCCTAGTTGGCAAAGCTAAATAAATAAATTTATATGATCAAATGCGCTTATAACATAATAACATCAAGTATTACGTTTACCAACTTTACCTAATTACATACTATAGCCAGTTAGCCTAGTCGTAGACTATCTATTTTTACATTTATTTACAACAATTGTGACATTACTTTCTCACTGTGTTTATTCCATAGACATATTAGATCTATTATGTTTATTATTCCTATGGTTTATCCCGAACCCACCCTGTCAAATTTCCAAGTGGAAGGAAACCAGAACGCCCGGAGAAAACCCATGACTCCTTTCCACATCAGTCCGTGGCGTCAACTGACACAGGTTCGCGAGTCGCGACATGATGGAAGGGTGTTATAATTACACATTGCAATGCCGGTCGCGAAACCGACTGTCTCACAAATCGTTGCATCGTGCAACAGAAGCTTAATTTGAATAAGCTTGTACCACTAGCTGGCACTGATCTAAACTGGCACTCTGGTAAACTGAATTTCTAGAACAGGCACTCTGGAAAATTGGCACTCTGGGTAGCACGAAAATGACATGTCAGATTATGTTCCCTGGCAAACTCGCGCTCTGGCAAACTGACACTCTAGCAAACTAGCACTCTGGCAAACCGACACTCTGGCAAACAGGGACTCTAGCAAACAGGCTGGCACTCTGGCATGTAGGCACTCTGGCAAGCAGGCAAACTGGCAGTCTGGCAAATTGGGAGCCTAGCAAACAGGCTGGCACTCTGGCATGTAGGCACTCTGGCAAGCAGGCAAACTGGCACTCTGGCAAACCGACACTCTGGCAAATTTGGACTCTAGAAAACAGGCTGGCACTCTGCAGACCTGCCAAGTCTCACGATTTAATCGTGAGATTCACGATTTTTGATGCTTTCTCACGATCTCACGATTACGTCCCCAAATCTCACGATTTTCGGAATTTATGAAATCATCGAAGAGCGCAACATCTAGTTACAATAAGGCACACTCTTCCAAGGAAACATCACACTTTATTAGTGTATTAGCCTAATAATGCGCAATGTACAACGCCAGAATTTTGTATGCGTGATGTTTGTGTTACAAAGTAAAAGGCGTGTCCTGCTAAGTTTATTGTTCTGCTAGTCTTAATATTGCTCGTAATTTTCTTGTTTTTGTACAGTGGAAGCTACTAAAGCCATAAAGAAAAAACAGCCTATTTTTAATAAGCCAGGCATTTATGGTTATATTAACAAAATATAAATGCATACTATCACAAAATTGTAAATCTAATGATTATTTTCTAGTGTTGTTAAAGTTAACCCTGGTCACATAAATGAGCAAACCTGAAAATTTCTCTCACGATTTTTCAGTCTCACGATTTTTCAGTCATTCTCACGACTTTTTAGACGGCAACTCAGTATAGTATTTCTGCCACTCGAGGGTTGGCAGGTCTGCACTCTGGCATGTAGGCACTCTGACAAGCAGACACTCTGGCAAGCAGGCAAACTGGCACTCTGGAAAACTACTCTGGCAAACTGACACTCTAGCAAACAGGCTGGCAATCTGGCAAGCAGGCAAACTGGCACTCTGGCAAACTACTCTGGCAAACTGGCACTCTAGCAAATAGGCTGGCACTCTGGCAAGCAGGCAAACTGGCACTCTGGCAAACTACTCTTGCAAACTGGCACTCTAGCAAACAGGCTGGCACTCTGGCAAGGAGGCAAACTGGCACTCTGGCAAACTACTCTGGCAAACTGGCACTCTAGCAAACAGGCTGGCACTCTGGCAAGCAGGCAAACTGGCAAGCAGACACTTTGGCAAGCAGGCAAACTGGGACTCTAGCAAACAGGCTGGCAATCTGGCAAGTAGACACTTTGGCAAGCAGACACTCTGGCAAACTGGGACTCTAGCAAACAGGCTGGCAATCTGGCAAGTAAACACTTTGGCAAGCAGACACTCTGGCAAACTGGGACTCTAGCAAACAGGCTGGCAATCTGGCAGCTGGCAAGTTAAGGCACTCTGACAAGCAGACACTCTGGCAAGCAGACACTCTGGAAAGCAGACACTCTGGAAAACAGACACTCTGGAAAGCAGACACTCTGGAAAGCAGACACTCTGGTAAGCAGACACTCTGGCAAGCAGGCAACTGGCACACACTCTGGCAAACCGGTTAGCAAACCGGACACTCTAGAAAACTGACATTTTGGCAAACTTGCACTCTAGCAAACTGTCGCTCTGGCAAACTGGCACTCTGGCACTATGTCTGGCACACACTCTGGAAACTGTCACTTTAGAGAACTGACATTTTGGCAAACTTGCACTCTAGACAGCAAACTGGCACTATAGCAAACTGGCACTCTGGCAAACTGTCGCTCTGGCAAACTGTCACTCTGGCAAACTGTCGCTCTGGCAAACTGGCACTCTGGCAAGCAGGCACTCTGGCAAGCAGGCACGCTAGGAAACAAGCACTCTGGCAAACTTTCGTTGTTAGGGATATATGCAGCTACTTAAAAAATCTAAGGAGATTTTCAAGTAGTTGCATGATTGAATCCGCCTACAAAAGAAAGCTTATTGGCACTACCTACACTGGAACAGACAGTTCAAGACTATAGCAAACTCGCACTCTGGCAAACTGACACTCTGGCAAACTGACACTCTGGCAAACTGACACTCTGGCAAACTGACACTCTGGCAAACTGACACTCTGGCAAACTGACACTCTGGCAAACTGACACTCTGGCAAACTGACACTCTGGGAATGTTGGGAGATGCCAACCTCTAACCTGGACCCTGGACAGGGTCCAGGTTAGAGGTTAGGGGCGGGGTCCAAGGTCAGGGATTAGCCTTGATACATTATCAATAGGGGTCACACAAAGTACTGTATATACCAGAAAATTTGCTGAATATGACCAGCGTGATATACCGGAAGTGCGAGGATATACCGGAAGTGATGACACCGTGCGCGGTGCGCACGTTTTCCGTTTTACTTCCGTTGCAAGGCAGACGATCCCTAAAATCGGGCAAGCCTGGGAAAGACCGCCTATATGCAGGCTATCACTCTGGGAGCGTCATTCACTTACTCGGTCATTGATTCATTGAGCTTCCACAATATAAAATGTTTTATAGATTTTAATATAGTGCGTTTTGTGAAATATAGTTGATAATATGAATAAGTCAGGCCTAGAGTTTATAGCAGAGAATGAACCAACTAACCAGCGTGATGAACCAACAATATCAGACAAGATTGAATCAAACCAAACACTTGAAGAATTTTGGTCAAAACAGGACGGTGAACTACCTCGGCAAGTCACGGCTGTGGTTGTCGGTGCCGGACTTCGTGGACAAAATTATGCAAACTTTGCTCTAGATTTTCCATCTAGACTTAAAATTGTTGGTGTTGCAGAGCCACAGAAACACAGACGAGAAAAACTACAAAAGTCACATGACATACCAGATGAATACGCTCTTGATGACTGGAGTAAATTAGCAATATTGGATAAAATAGCTGATTTGGCAATTATTAGTACACAAGATCATATGCATAAAGATCCAGCCATTGCATTTGCTAATCTAGGATATCATTTGTTACTTGAGAAACCAATGGCAGTGAAGGAAATAGACTGCGAGCAGATAGCTGAATCGTGTGAGAGAAATAAAGTGATGGCTGCTGTAGGTCATGTCATGAGGTATGTCTACAGGCGTAAAAATTGAGAAAATCAACAACTTGTTCCAGGTTGATATCAACAGGCGTGAACAAGGTTGTGTGGCCCACTATGAACAGTATTGTTATTGTCAACATGTTGTTACAGCATAGTTCAACTGTAACAACTTGGAACAACATGGCCGGGTCACAACTTGTTCATAGTTCATGGCCGCACAACATTGTTCATGCATATAAAGTTTGTTCGTTCACTGCAACCAGGTATATCAATCATGTTTCGCTCGCTACTCTGGTTTAAATAAATGATTACAAAGCCCAGTCGAATTGTAATCAAGACCCAACGTTTCGACACTCCAGTCTAGTGTCTTCATCAGGGGTGATCTAAAACTGTGATCGTGGCTTCTTAAATACCCAAGGGATGACGTCACCTGCCAAGACGATGCATATATTCCTCTGGCAAATAGGCACCGTCATCCCTATTCAAAGCATGATGACTCATATTTATATGCCACGCTTCTAGGCAAAGTCTTTCACCATAGCGATTGTTTGTGGTAATTACTTTAGAGTTTTCCCACGCAATCTTGTGTTTGGTGTAACATACATGTTCGGCTAAAGCTGATTTTCCCTTGTCTAAAGTTGAAACAGCCTTTTGATGTTCTTTTAGCCGTGTACCAAACTGGCTAATTAGACTGACCCAAATACTCTTTGTCGCAGTCACCGCATGGTATAGCATATATAGCATGAGTCTTCTGATTTGTTTTAATGTTCAGGATCTTTTGGCTTTGCGAAAATATGGCCTAAAGTCCAATAGGGTTTTAAGGCAACCTTAATATTACAATTACTTAAGATTCTCTTGATTGGTTCTGTGACACCTTGAATGTATGGAACTATTGCAAAACCCTTAACAGAGGTATCACCCTCGGAGTTATTTTGGTTCCTACAAGCAGGTGGTCTCAGGCAATCATTAAGAAAACGCTTTGGGTTTAAATTGTTTTCCCCTAAAACATTTAGAACATATTCACGTTCATTAGCTTGAGAATCACTGTTTGACGGCAACAATTCAGCTCTTCAACGATTCAGCTTTGCTTCAAAGAGCTGAATTGTTGCCGTCAAACAGTGATTCTCAAGCTAATGAATGTGAATATGTTCTAAATGTTTTAGGGGAAAACAATTACCCAAAGCATTTTCTTAATGATTGCCTGAGACCACCTGTTTGTAGGAACCAAAATAACTCCGAGGGTGATGCCTCTGTTAAGGGTTTTGCAATAGTTCCATACATTCAAGGTGTCACAGAACCAATCAAGAGAATCTTAAGTAATTGTAATATTAAGGTTGCCTTAAAACCCTATTTGACTTTAGGCCATATTTTCGCAAAGCCAAAAGATCCTGTTAAAACGGCAATTGATAAAACTAGAATAGTGAAGCGAATAGTGCGAATAGTGCGAATAGTCGACGAATAGTGCGAATAGTCGACGAATAGTACGAATAGTCCGCGAATAGTCGACGAATAGTCCGCGAATAGTCGACGAATAGTGCGAATAGTCCGCGAATAGTCGACGAATAGTACGAATAGTCGACGAATAGTGCAATAGAGACTTTGC